TTGAAGGCAGAGAGGTGGTGGCAGCATCTGCCGCCTACAGGTCGGGCCCCGGGTGCTGTTGTGACACTGGGACACCAGCGGGGTGAACGCTGAGGCCCTGGGACACCAGCCGTGACCAAGGCCTCAACCTGACATCCTTCCTAAGGAGACACTCATCGGGGCATGACAGGACGGTGTGACTCACTGGACAGGGTGGCCACATCCACTCATGCCAACGGTGGGGACCAGGTTGAGCTCAGGCCCCCCAGGACTGTGGGGCTCCTGGAAAGCACCACCATGGGGCTTAAACTTGGGACCTACTGCAGGTGTGGCTAGGCAGCGTCCCCAGCCACGGGTCCCCTGATGCCCGCCTCAACGTGAATGAACGGCAATGTCTGCTCCATCTTCCTCCTTGTGCACGGCCTCTCCCCCGGGCCCTCCCGGCAAGAGCTGGGGGACCGCCCTTGCTTCTTCTCTAGTTTCTTCTGGGTGTGGACACGGCTGTCTGGAGGAGTCATCTGGCTGAGAGGCCCCCAGAGAGTCCTGGCGGGTGGGTCCCCTGCCCAGTCGCCCCAGGTCTGTCCCACCTCAGCCTGTCTGTGGCTCCGTTACGTGGCCCTGCTTGGGCTCAGCGAGTTGAGTTTCTTGGAGTCAGAAAACTCCCAGCACCCATGGCCTCTGGGAGTCCCCGGAATGACTGGTTGTCCCCTGCCTCCTGGCCGCAGCCACGTGGCAGAAAGTCAAAAATTATGACTCAAAGAATTCGGAGGTATGCCACCGAAAACAGGAACAACAACATATAGAACAGATACATGGAAGCTGAAAATCAAAAACTTCTGTACTTCGAAGAACACCATCAGGAAAGTGGAAAGACAGCCCATGGAAGGGGAAGCGATATTTGCAAACCGCACATCTGGTAAGGAATTTGTACCCGTAACATACAAAGAACTTCACATCTCGACTAAGGTTTGACTAGACATTCTTCAAGGAAGATATGCAAACGGCCAGCAAACACATGAAAAGGTGCCGATGTCATTATCCATCAGGGAAACGCAAGTCACACCAGTGTGACACCACGTCCACCTGCCAGGATGGCCACAATCAAAATGCCAGATGGTAACAAATATCGTGAGGACATGGAGGGATCGGCCACGCCACACGGCTGGCGGGGCTGTGATATGTGGTCGCCGCTGTGGTAGCACCTCACATGGTTAAACAGGGGGACTGAGTGACCGGCAGGTCCCCTCCCAGCTGCCATACAAGGCTGTGCATGCGTGTTCACAGAAATCGACTCAGATGTCACCAGCAGATGGGGGGGAAAACACGTGGTCCGTCCGTCCCCTAGAACAGCGGTTCTCAACCTGTGGGTCGCGACCCCTTTGGGGGTCGAACGACCCTTTCACAGGGGTCGCCGGGGACTCATATGTGGGCATATCTGCANAAGGGGTCGCGGCATTAGGAAGGTTGAAAACCGCTGCTCTAAAACACTCAACCCATTCCTCATAACTCTAAGAAATGAAAGAGAAGCAAAGGCAACCCTTATCTGATGCAGAGTACCTACGAACACCACACAGATGCTAAAATTTGGAGAGAGGCGTGTGGGCCGCAGATACCACATTTTACCACTCGGACTAAATACTAGAGGATCCTTCCAGGGTAACAAAACAGGTAAACAGCAAGAAAGAGAAAGGAGGAAATAATACTATCTTAATTTATTGACAACATATAGGAAATATAAAACGGCATAAAACCATTAATTGATGCGGGATTTCAGCAAGACCGTGATTTCCAGGTCATGAAGCGGGCCCGTCGGCGGCCGTCCTGGGTCTGCCGCTGACCACCTCTCACCCTGCGGGCGGGCAGCACAGACTCAGCTGGCCAGAGGTGTGGCCCAGATGGGCCTGGACCCACAGTGCCGGCTGATCCCCAGTGCACGGGCCCCTCACGGAGCTCTGTGGCTGGGCCCCGGGACCCAATGTCCTTTCATGCACTTGCTTTTGCTTTTCTTACCCTCCATGCGTCCGTCAAGGACCTGCCAAGGCATTCCTTACCTATGACAAGCTTGACAAAAGCAGTTCCCCAACCACTTCCCCTCGAACAGCCCTTAGCTGAGAAATCCCGGTGCCGAGGCCCACGCGACAAATGTCGGCTCTGCCGTCGTGGGCACTGCCTTTTAAAGCGGGGGCAAGTCCTAGCCGTTCTGGTTTACTTGATATGTTTTCTTTTCCTCTGGACTTTGGTAGAAATTGTTTCTTATTACTGCAATTGATATTTAATAAACACTGTGGTCAAAGGAAAGATCAGGCCACTCACCGTGAGAGCTGAGGAGGCGGGAGGCGGGCGGGGGCGCGGGGGAGGCTGGAACAAAGACGCAGACACAGGCGCTGCCGGCATGCTGTAGCATAAAGGACCCGATTGTGCCTCATCTGTGTCTCTTGTGCTGTCTTGGCTGGTGGGGCTCCTTAGACGCTTTCCTGGAAACAATGCATTTCTCTTTCTGCACGCACTGAGACATCCCCGTGGCCCAGGAATCGGCCTCTGTGGGGCCTGGTACCGGCTGTGGGGCTGGAGGGGCGAGGTCCCCTCTGTGCGTCACCTGGGTCGGGCCTGCCGCCACCCCACATGGCGATCAGGACCCTCAGGGCAGCCCTGCAGGGCCGTCACCTTCGCTGACGGTCCCGCCAGGGAGGCCCAGGCCGGTGGGGGCGGAGCAGCGCACCGGCCTGGGCCTCCACGCGTGTCCTGGACGCTGCGTGGGCCATGGCGCAGAGCGGACATGTGTCACCTCACAGGAGGTGTGGTGTCCTGAGTTACGAGGGTGGAAGGAGGCTGGCTGGCAGCTCGCGCTCTGGCCTGGAAGCTGGGAGAAGCAGGCGCGGGCCCAGGCCAGAGCGGCGGGGCTGGCAGGCCTCTGCGCCTCCGGGGTCGGGCGCCTGTCCGTCCTGATTTGGGGGATGACTGTGTATACGCAGTGTATTCAAACCCTGCAGTTTAAGGATACACAGAGCACAGCGTTTGCTGGTCCTGCTCCCAGGAGACGCCACAGCCATTCCTGGGAGACCACAGGTGTGTCTGGGCGCGGCGGGCGCCCCTGGGCCTCGGAGGAGGGTTCTGGCAGACACCCCACGGGAGAGACCTGGCACCAATCTCTTCCCTCAGGTTAAAGTGATTGGGAAATGAAAACACAAAGTGAAAACTTTCTCAGGGAATACACAGTCAACCGTGGTTTTCAAAGGTGATGACAACTGCCGACCTGGCTTCCAGGACAACAGGTTACTGCCCGTTCTGCCTGGGGACACAGCCCAGGTGCCCCAAGCACCCCTTGGCCCGTGCAGGGAAGAACATTGCACCGTGAAGGCGGCTTGTCCCCCAAGCCGGCTGTGGGGGCACGGACACGGCTCTCCCTCGTTCTGCCTCTCTGTCTCTGTGTCCCTGTGTCTCTGTGTCCCTGTGTCTGTGTGTCTCTGTCTCTCTGTCTGTCTCCGGACCCCTCTGACTGCAGCTGTCTTACCCATTCGCATGCTCCTTTCTGGAGAAGCTAGGCAGGACGGAGTCAGTTGCAGGAGCCGTGCTGATGGGTGTGGTTAAGAAAGGGAATGACATTCAGCGGGAAGAGGAATCCATGATTTACTGAATGTCCTCAAAAGAGCTTTGATCCCTGGGGCCAGGCGGGGTCAGGACATCCCTGTACATTTCCCAGCGTCCCCTTTGCTCCCATCTGAGTACAGAGGGAACGCCTGATACGATAGGCAGAGTAATAACCCCCAAGCATGTCGCGTCCGAACCCCAAGTCCTGTGAGCGGATATGTTAGATTACGTGACAAAAGGGACCACGTTTGCTGGCCCACTGGCCTTGAGGTGGAGACAAGGTCCTTGGTTATCCGGGTGGCCCCATGCAATCACAGGGGTTCTTACAAATGGGGCGCAGGCAGGAGACAGAGAGTCAGAGAGACGGGGTGTGGGGAGCCCGAGGAAGTGTTGCTGACTGAGACGGAGGGAGGGGCCCGGTGACCTGGAGAAGCTGGAAAAGAGGAGCGGAATGGCCCCTGTCGCCCCTGCAGGACCAGCCCCGTGCACACCTGCAGCCCAGCCAGTGAGCACTTCGGACGGTAGCCTCCAGGCTGTGAGGTCGTAATGTGACCTGATTATAAAGGGCTGTCGCACAGTCCCGGGGGCTTCCTGCAGGGTGGAGGGCCTGGAGGAGTGGGGGGAACGTGTGGGCAGACCCAGCACATCCCGCCTCTCAGGACCAGGGCTGGGAGAGGACGGCCCTTGTCCCCGGCACCCTTCCTCCCAGGCCCGCTGCCTGGGGCTTGGCAGGTCCCCGAGACAGCTGGGGTCTCCACAGGGGCAGCCCGGCCTCGTGCCGAGGGGCCTAAAACAGCGGTTCTCACGACCCACCCGCATGAATCTGTGTGTCCTCCTGTCTTTGTGTGGCCCCTAACCTCACACACATCCGCTTTTTGATCCAAAATATTTTGCAGTCGCCATAGGCAAAGGGCTATGGTGGCTGGTGCTGGAAGCTGCCCTTTGAGGCCACCCTCCAGCAGGACAGAGCCCCTGCTCTGCCCCAGCTCGCCCCGCCCCCACCGCTGAGAATGCCGGCGCCCCACCTGCTCCGTTTGGCCAGGTGACCTCCAGATCACCCAGTGGTGCTCCAGCTGACGCAGCCCTCCGGGTCACCCTCCACCCAGAGGGACAGATGGCCTGTGACAGACTAAAGGGGGACTCAAGCCTGTGTGCACACGTTCACGCAGCCAAACATGCTAACAGCCCAAGCGTCCAGCAGCTGACGCACGGGTGAGCACAGTGGGGTCCCTCCACGCAGCGGAATACAACACAGCCGTGAAAACGAAGGCAGCTCTGACACAGGCGGCACCACTGATGAACCGAGCAGTGTCCTGCTGAGTGACAGGCCAGACGCCACATCCTGTTTATGCGACGTGTCCAGGAACAGGCTGACCAGCGGTTGCCAGGGGCTGGGGCGGAGCTGCAGAGTGACGGGGCTTCTCTTTGAGGTGATGAAAATGCTGCAAACTTGGGCTGTGCTGACGGTCGTGCGGCTCGGTGAGTACACTGCAGCCCATCAAAATACGCACACACTTCAAATGGCTGAGTGGTATAGCATGTGAATTATATCCCAATAAAGCTATAAATTAAAAAAAAATCTTCCCACAATTTAAAAAACTCATTAAAGTAACATGGTAGCCTTTTAAAAATCAAGACAATATATGCTCACTGTAGAAATTTTTTAAAATACAGAAAGCTATGAAAAGAAAATTAAAATCACGTGCCCATTTAGCAATGACAAGCAGTTTACACGTGCTGCACTTTTTCCTGTTTTCAAGTCTGATTTATTCAAGTAACATGAGCGTGGCCTGTGTGTCAGACGTCTTCCCAGGATCACTCACGCTTGCCAGCAGCCACGGCCCGTAAGCTGGTCTCTGACCGTCCTCGTGTGTGTGTGTGTGTGTGTGTGTGTGTGTAGGGGGTGTGGGTGGTGTGTGTGTGTGTATGTGTGTGTGTGCACGCGCACACGTGTTCCAGGCCTTTGCCTGGAACAGAAACCACGATGAGTGTCTGCAAAAATTCTCCTTCTCAATATGTCCTTGGAAATAAAACCTAGAAGTAAAATTACTGAATTAGGAAGATGAACTCTCCTTTAAAGACTGAGGCAAAGATCTACTCTGGAGAAAAGGGGTGAGTGTTCCCTAAGGCCCACTGCAATTCAAGACATTTCAGTAAACCTGGTGGATTCCTGCCTAGATAGCCGTGACGTTTGTGACTGATTTTCCACACCACGCAGACAGCTGTCTTCTATGGATGGACCCACGTTAAAGACAATCACGGTGATTAGCGTTCTCTCCTTTACACCTGATCCTGTCCACATGCTTCTGGGTTTGCTTGTTTTCTGATCTCTTATGGAACGGCGTTTCCCGAGACCCAGCAATGGGGGGCCCTCCTCACCCCGCTCTGGCCCAGCTCCCCCACCACTCAGAAGGAAAACCGCAGGCTGTGTCATGTCACTCCCACACCAGGTGCCTCTAATAAAACCACATCGCCCCCCTAAGCCTGAGACAGCCCCCGGAGTGGGCGGTGGGGGAGGTCAGCGTTCACCCTCAAGCCCACCCTAACACCAGGCAGCCAGGATGACGGAATTAGGGGTTATTTCCTAACAAAAGAAGCAGCCAGATATAGGCGGAAATCGTTCAAACCCATTTCAGTTCCTCTGGGCTTG